ACATCGTTACATCTTACATATTCGACTTTTTCTAATAGCTCAGGTTTTATCATCTATGAATTCAACTGTTTTCAAGCAAAGCTCCTGGCTTAGCTAGGCACATCCTGATGTGTCTGTGCACTGGAGAAAGTGCAATGCTTTGACTGGACAGTGTTCCTCCTTGCAAACCTGTCCAATGTCCACTCTAAACTCTGATGTGCCCATGGCATTTTGGATCCCTTAAAGCACACTTTCACATTTACCTTTAGGACAGGAACTCCAAGGTTCTGCTGGATTCTCGTTCTTTGCTCTGAATCTTGTCTCCCCACCCCCTACCCTCACATTTCTTTTTCATATCTGGTGTCATTTATTAAAGTTTGGTAGTTTCCACATTCAAAATAGTTAATGACACAGGACTATGAGGTGAGTCCTACTGAAGACTTTGGAGAAAGAGAAGAGGTGTAAATGCAGACTGGTAACTTAGGTAACCTTAGGTAACTCCCTAAGGTTGAGTGCTAACATTGGGTCCCTAAGGTTGACAGCCAGAGGCAGGCTGTCAATGTTTCAATAAGCCCCCCCCCATATTGTACCCGCTGGAGGGACAATGAGAATGAGTGCATCACTCAGCCTGAGCTGAGACATAGAGGTGGACTCTCAAATGACAGAGAAGCACACACTGAAGAAGGCCATGGTCCTAGGATCATGGAAAAGAAAACTGGAGAGATGCTGGTCTGCTTTCAGCTGTAGTTGGCTGGGTGAGATTAGGGGAGAATGAGGCTGGAACAGCAGAGTGACAGAAAGTGTGAGTTTGTGCTCACGGACTCCTGGAATCAGGCATCTATGACCAGGGAATGCTCAGCTGTGTCAATGAATGTGAGAATCAGGCAAGATCACATCGCTTCCTGAAACCTCGGACCTGGGAGAAAGAACAGAGGTGGGGAACAAGTGCTAGTCCCCCCAGCACACACCACATCCAGATGTGTCTAGACAGGACAGCTTTGCTTGAAGACACTGCTCAGAGTTCTGTCTGTCCTCCAGTCCCACAGAGGGGGCGTCCAATTCTCTTCTTCCTTGTTTCCCAGACATCTTCGGCTCTGAGGACCTGAGAACCAACCCAGCGTTCATGGAGACTGCCTGCTGCTTTGTGCTGCTGGTCGCCCAGGTGGGTCACTTCACCTCACAGGACTGCCAGGCACTAGCTGAGGTGAAGCGGGTGTTCGGGGAGCAGGTGATGGCTCGGACCATGGTGTTCATGTGTGAGGAAGACTTGGCCAGAGGCTCCCTGTAGATTACGTTAGCTGACCCCCAGGACCAACTTGCCAAAGTAGCAGAGATGGTGGAGGCATGCATGCAGAGAGCCCTGTGCAGCAGGCTGCTAACCTAGCTGGGGGAGTGGCAGAAAACCCAGAGGACCTCTTTGAAACTTGATGTGGCTGTCCTGCCAGGGTCCTCTGTGCTGTCCTATTCCCTGTCCTACTGGACCCTACCCAGACCTTTACCAAGATCAGTGCTGCCTGACAGATTACAAACCTCCTCTGATTAGTTTGACCCATCCACTGATGATCATCTAGTGTTTATTTTGCATCTCAGAACTTGAAGACTCTTTTCCTCCCTCCCCTACTAGAATCATTCAACTGGAACTCTCAGCCAAACCCTCTGCCCCCAAGACTTCAGTTTAGCGACTGAAACAGCCTGCCCTCTATTGTTTCCTCTTTTCTACTGACCTCAGACTGCCCTTTCCTGTCATGGAGTTGTCTTCTCTCCAGAAGAGAGAGGAGGAGGATGCTTTGTTCTCCCACCCTCTTATCCCCCAACTACCTAAGACTGTTTGCGGTGTGAGGCTTTTGCTCAGACTTGTTTCTGTTCAACTTAGCCCTTTCATCTGTGGGAAGCATAAGCCACCAACACCATCTGTGAAAACAAGGTAGTTAAAAAAATAATAAACAGGAACTCTAAGGGGCTGAGGGGAGAAATGTGTTATGCCAAAAATAGCTGTATTTTAACATGCAAGAATGGAGGCCACCAGAGTGTCTTAATGTACGTCATCCTGCCTCTCCTGGGATGTGAGACCTGAGGCACACTTATGTCATCTTAAGGAGAGGATAGTGAGGCAGTGGGAGAGGCTAGGCTAATGGTGTCAGGACAAAGGTGGGCTGACAGGATGGAAGCAGGAGTCTTTCCTGAAACAGTGACAATTGTATTTGAAGTAGCAAAAAAGGACTCATAATCAAGTGGCCTTGAGATTCTTCTAGATTGTTTTCAACCTGTACGTCTCAACCATCAGGAAACACACGTTTCTGATGGTCTTAGGAACCCAACCATAAATTTATTTTTGTTGCTGCTTCATAACTGTGATTTTGCTGCTGAGCTGTGTCTCCAAAGACCACCGGAAATATGTGTCTTTTGGGTGGCCGTGACCCACAGGTTGAGAACTGGTGTTCTAGAGTCTTCTTGCTCGTAGGTTCATAGGCCATACTCCCTTTTAAGGATGTGGCAAATTTTTAAAGCCTCTTTAAGCTATATAAAAGCCAGCATCTTCAGGGTGATTTTCTCAGGGCAGGAAGAGAGAGAAGTGAAGCCAAAGGGAATTGAGGAAGGAGAGAAGGATCTCAATGTGAAGAATAAGCTCAAGCCTTGTGTATCAGCACAGCAGACAATGACACACCTTTCACTTCTTGCACTCTTTGTTCAGGAGAGATCTACCCTGTATGGCTGTTCTGCAGCACAGCGCATGACTCCGTCTCATCCAAGTATTTCAGCATCAGTACTTCTGACATTGAGGATTAGGTGGGCTTTTGCTATAGAGGATCACTCAGTGCATTGTCCAATGTCCTCTATGAGCTGATCTACTCCTGAATTCTACCTTCTATACAACAGGAGCATCACAAGAGAAATGTCTCTAGGAAAGGTTTGATGTTTCCTGCAGGACAAAACCTGCTCCCATTTGAAAATCACTGCATTACAGTGATGCTATCATTTTCAAGAGGTAGGATGGACAATAGATGGTCAGAATTCTGATCTTGAGAAAGTGTGAGAGCAACTCAGACTGCCAGCTCAAAGTGGACCCTTAATAAGGATGGGTGCTGCCTATATAGATGCAGTAGACACCAAAAGGAAGGCCTGTGCACTGCTGTGTCCACAGCAGGAAGAATACCTTGAGAACCAGAAAGCATCAAGAAAAGGACACATCTACTATCATTGGCAACTGCCCACTGTAATTTGTGCTTCCAGTGTCCAAGCTCTGTGGCCTAGATTTTCCAGCTGTAACAATTAATATTGATTACCAGCTTGACAGGATCTAGACTCATGTAGCGACTAACCTCTTGACATAATGGTGAGAGAGTATATAGACTGGGATGAGGTGGAAAGACCCACCCTAACATTTTATTGGCTGGGGCTTCAGGTTGAATAAAAAGGGGAAAGTGATCTGCCCACCACTGTTCGTCATTCTTTGCTTCCTAATCACAGTGGAGATGTGAGAGTTGCCTCCCACTCCTGCCACGATGCCTGCTCTGATAGTAATAGACTGTACTTTCAAACTATGAGCCAGAATAAATTCTTCTTTCTCTCCCTTCTCCCTTCCTTAGTTATTGTTGTCATATGTTTGATCACAGTGAAGGGAAGAAGAAATAATACAGTCCCATTGAACAATGAACTATGGCTGCCACCTGGACACTGTGGCTTTCTTGCGTTCACAAACAAGGAGTCATGAAGAGAAACCTCATCTTGGTGGGGTCACTGGACAGAGAGAGAAGTCATGAAGCTGTGCTACAGCAGGCACAGAGAAATATATGTGGCTTTCCACCCCAGGGCCAACTGCCCCTAGGAATGGGCAAAGGTAACTACCTCAGCCTAGGAGGATTAAGGTCCCAGGAGCTCATTCTAATCTTCAGCAGTGGTGACTTTGTCACACTAACAGAAAGTACCAAGATGAGCAAAGTTGAAAGCAGGTGAAGAGTTGGGGAGGAGGGTAACTGGAGCCAGCTGTAGTCAGAGACAGGTGAAATGCAGTGCCAGAGACTGCAGTTCAGCCTGGAACTCTTTCCTCAGTTTCTCCCAGGAAAAGGAGAATTCTGAGAGAGGAGATCCCTAGACATACGTGGGCAGTGAATGTTCATGGAGCATTTTAACTAGCAGAGGCAGCCTGAAATGTTCTTCAGAAGGAAACCTGTTACTCAGCTCCCAGGCATACAGCTAGCTGGGAGTCAGCAAAGGCAATGTTCTCAGGCCCCGCCTCAGCTTTTAATATGAAGCCATGCTCTTCCCAGGAAGTTTCTAGTCTGTTGTGCTCAGCACAACAGAGACCTTAATACATCTTCAGTGCAGGACTCATGTCTGCCCCGTCTGCCCAGAAGAGCTCCTTGTGGAGCTATTATGGGCTTTGTTAGCTTCTTGCCCCTCTACGTGCCCTTCAAGAGAACATGGTGCTATAGCCTAAAGCTTCCCTGGATCTGCTCTACTCACCCCTAATCTGTTCTCTATAGGTATCACCTCCTTGTAAACCTCTAACTCAACTGTCTCTTCCCATGTTCTTCCCAGAGCAACTGGCACAGCGTTATTGCTGCCCCACCCAGAAACCAACCTAAAGGTCTTCTGTAGTGTACGTTAGACCCTGCCATGAGAATATGCCACACTGCTTATCCTGTGCATTCCTCATCTTGTCCAGGTTCTAGTGTCACTTGCTCAGCCTGAGGTAGCTAGCGAGGCCGTGTGAACTGCCCTCAAACCAAAGGGAACCTCAGGGCAGAGGCACAGCTATCACCTGGGCCTGAATCCTCTTGGTCCTGCAGCTGAGACTCTCCCCACTCACTTTTTCTGGGTATAGGAAGATATCTAGGGCAAACAATCCCAGAGCTGGCAAATGTTTGTCATACAAGTGACTGTCACTAATTTAATAGACTCTCGGGCACCAGAGATGAGAAAACTCACATTGGTCAAAGTACATAAACATTTCAGTGGCCTCTTCATGAAATTAGAATCTTTTCCTAAATCAGAAAAAAAATGCCATCAGATGGAGAGTATAAAGTCATAATCCAGTTCATCTTTATTGTCTGATTCAACTCAATATTTACACATACATTTTTCGAGAGATTACAGTGTTAAAAAGTATGGGGTATCCAATGGTAGTTGGATCACTTCTTAGCCTCTCAGCTAAAATAAAGTATAATATAAAAAATATACATTAATTCTCAGACTTTACCAGTAGATTAATATTGAAGGTAACTAAACACATTTATCCTCAATGGACATATGAAAGCAGCTGATCTTTAAAATGTCTGACCCTTAATAGACTTTTGGAGAAGATTTCATACTGTTCATTTCACCTCAGGAAACTTCCAGTAGATCTTCTCAGCCATGTACTGAATACCATGAAATAAATTTCACATACCAGTGAAGCTGGGCACAAAGACAGAATGATGTTGGAATGTTGATGCTCACATCCACTTTCTGCCATGCCCAAGGGCATGCTGGGCATGCCTGTGCTGTGTGTGTGTGTGTGTGTGTGTGTGTGTGTGTGTCTGAATACCCTGGTTCTTGGGGTACTGTCTTATTTGGATCAATATTGATCTGAGCCTTGGCTATTGTATCAGTCCTGACTTTATCTGAGCAACACTGTTGAAGTGGTTTTGACCCTTAATATCTTGATATTTAAGACAATTTCCAAATTCTCTACCTTATTCTCTTTGTTCTCTAATTCCTTACTGCTTGGCCTCACTTGACAATTTATTTACAAAATTCCTATATCCAACATGAGACACATTTATCCCTCAGCATTCAAAGTTATGAACTTTGTCCTGCCACCCCTATGCAACCCACCTCTGTCTAACGGCATCCCTAAATTGTCCCAGGACTTTTAACTGCTCACTTGGGCTCATTGTTTTGATGGCCTAGCAATTTGTTGGCTAGTGTTGTTTTTAATTGATAGCCAAAATTCACCCATGAAAATGGATGCTCCTCATATGTCTTTCTGAGACCATTGGCTATTGTCAACAGATTTTTCACTTGGGTTTCCCGGTTTTGACCAGTTTCTTTGTTATTAAAAGCACAAACTCGCCCCTTACACCTTTTGAGTATTCTTCTAAGGGCTTTGTTCTTTGTGTTATTAGTATAATCATGAAGGTCCCCATCCCCTAGATCTTCTTTCCGTGTAAACAGAACAATCATATATTTCATAATGTCAACGTGTTCTTTAAAAATGGCCTCCAGTTGCTCCACTGCTTCCTCATCTTCTTGGATGAACCGTCCCAATTGGAGTACCAGCACAAAAATCTTCATGCCTTCTTCACAGAGAGACAGACATTGGATGACCTCCTCATTTAATCTGGAAGGATCCTTTTGAATATCAGGCAGCTGGATGAATGATGGAGTATCCACAACCACAATATCCTGCCAGTCCACTGTGGTCCTGTCACTCTTAATTTTACTGGTGACTGGCTGAGCTCCGAGCTGAGAGACGAAGGCAGTTCTCCCCAGGATAGTGTTCCCAGTTGCACTCTTTCCAGTCCCACTCCTTCCCAAGAGGATGATGTTTAAGAGTTCTGTTGCAGAGGAAATTGGAAAGAACTCATGACTATGGGATGATACAGAACTCATCTTTCCAATTTGCTCAGAGCACTAGTCTCATTGTTAAGCTCAAAAGGCCTCAGCCAGCAGGTTCTCCCCACACATGAGTCTGGCTTCCCAGTTCATGTGGCCTAGGAACGCAACATTGGGTCCTGGACAACACTCTGCTCAGTGCTCATCTATAAACATAACATGTCTCCTATCTTTGAATCTACTCAGCTCCCCTCTCCAGTACCTCTTCTTAATCCCTGGTATCTATGAGAAACAATGGCCTTATCTTTGCCTCTTATCTTTGCTGAGTCTAGTCCACACATTTCATTTCTATCTTCTGCTCCTACTGTGACTAAGTCTCCCTACAGCTAACACCTGATAACCATAAAGTCTTTGCAAAATGTCTTTGAAGTAGTTGAAAATCTACTCTATACAATTGGATTTTCAGGGGAAAAAACCAATCATATTCTATCAATGGATAACCTGTAATGTCGGTTGTCTCATACTACAATTCATTAAAAGCACGATAAGCCTTATTGCATATTTCTCTGAGGAGCCAAAGAAACTCTCTGGTTAGAATAAATGTCCAATAACACTGTTCTTTGTGGTTTGGGTGTTGGAGAAGGTTTCCTATAAATGGTATTTGCAGGTGCTGAGATCTCACTATAGTTACTCTTTTGGGTGCTCTGATACCTTTGCAGTACTTAACTGTGTCCTTCTCAGAGGACCTCTAGCATCAATTCCTTGTCAAGTCACTAATGTCTGCCTCAAACCAAGAGTAGAAAAGCCCATCTTGCTCTTCCTTCCATGAACAACTGGTGGGCTACTCATGCTGAACCAAGTTTCAGAGTTTTGCTTAAAGGTCAAAATAGATCAATGATCTGTACCAACATATGCACACACATGTGAGTGCACATGTGAACACACACACACACACACACACACACACTTAGGCTCCTGCACTCATGTCATATGTTCCAATCCCTGCTTCTGAGAAAAAGACTCAAGCTTCTCTGAGATCTGATCCAACCTTCCCATAGTTTGAAGCCCTCTTTCCATCAAGAGGCATGTTCAGCCTGTCTATTTTTCTTGAAGTTGCCCGCGTACTGTCTGTGGTGTTTCCCCTTTCTTCCCAGCCATCTAAACCCACCTATTCTCTAAAACATGTTTCAAATTGAGTATCTAGACATGCTTTCTCTTGGCCCTCCCACTTCCCTGCACTTCTTTAGGTGGCTCCCCAGTACCTGGCCCTCCTTGGGGAATGTGAAAGGGTCTTGGGTAAGAACATCTTAGTCAGAAGAGAACAGATGAGTAGAAATGGGAAAGATCTCAAATGAGGTCAATAGAACAGGGAGAACTGAGAAAATGGGCTGTCCTTTCTCAACAGTTAAAAGTTGGGATCACCTCGCCTAGTGCCACATGGTATCCCTCTACCACAAACATTCAGACTCTCTGTCCTTGTTGTGTCTTAGCTCCTAAAACTCTTACTCTATTTGTTTCTTTTACTTTCTTAGTGCATGTATATAAGGGTGTTCATGTATGTTTAAATGCAAATGTGTGTTCAGGAATACATGCATATGCATTGGGATGCATGGAGAGGCAAGAGGACAACCTCAGCTGTCATTCCTCAGCCAGAGTCTAAGTTGGTTTTTGATATAGAGTCTCTCACTAGCCTGGAACTTGCTAAGTAGGTAAGAATGGCTAGCCAGCAAGTCCCGGAGATCCATCTGCTCCCAGCACCAGAGTACAGCATTTACCACCATGCCTGACTTTTTTGACATGGGTTCTGGGAATCAAACCTGGGTCTTTATGCTTGTAAGGCAAATGAGTTATCTTCCAAGCCCTACTTAATGCTTTATTATAGTTTCCCATCTCCAGAGCAGTGAAGAATAAACAATCCAGAAAAGGTTCTGAGTGAAGAGAACAGAAAAGCAAACCAATGATCTAAAACTGTCTTTGCTGAGCTGAAGGCTGAGTCCCATCAGCAGCAGACTGGAAAAGCAAGAAGACTGGGAAAGGGTTCCATGCAGGAGAGGTGGGATAAGGGTCAGGAAGGAATTAAAAACTGTCTCTGAGAGTGTACATTAAAAACTCATAACTTTCAGACAATTTGAAGATGAGACCGTGGAATACATCTACTGGTTGGTTTGAGATAGGGTCTCATATAACCCAGGCTGACCTTGAGCTCATTACTTTTCCAAGATCTTGAACTTCTGGTCTTTCTGACTCTACTTCCCACATGTTGGGGCACCCACCACCATGCCAAGTTGTTGACATACCGAAGGTCAACCCTAGTGCATACTGGGTAAGCACTGCCCTGAGCTACAGACCCAGCCTCACCCTTTTCACATCCTTCAGAAAGCAATAGCTCTAGATTGTACCTTATATCCCAAGCACTGAATATAAAACAATTTTCTATGCTCAGCCATACCTTTCTCTCTGAAGATGCAAGGCTTGTTACCATTGTGTTGCACCATGCTCTCAATGTTGTTCAGGAGTTTGTCCACCTGGCTCTGCTTCTCCTCTAGAGTTGCCCGGTAGTTGAAAGCTGTGTATCTTTTTTCAAATTTAAGAACGAGATCAAAGAGAGCACTCTTTTCCTTTATTAACGTATCTAGAGCCTGATCTTCAAAATCTTCTTTCCTGGTAAAAAGAATAATTGTGAACTTGGTGAATTTTTTTCCAAAAATATGTTTGATGATACCAAACACATTGTCATCACTCTTTATGGAAGAGCCCAGTGGTGTCACCAGTAGGAAGGCATGAGGACCAGGGAAGGTATGCTTCTTGACATCAGACTCATTAAGCTTCCAAGATGAGATCTCTGGAGAATCAATGATCAGAAATTTCTTCCCATTCCAGATCCTGCTGTGCGATGTGAAGGTCTGGGTGACCTGATGCTGCTCTCTGAATCCAGTCTTGAAGGCCTGGTTCCCCAGAATGCTGTTTCCTGCTGCACTTTTCCCAACACCTCGCTTCCCTATGAGGAGGACCCTCAGTTCTGGCACCTCTGAATCCTGATCAGGTCCTGTGATCTGAGGCTGCCTCTTCTCTGGACCTGTGAGACAAGAAAAATATAAAAAATAGATACAGTGTCTCCTCCTACAGTTGAGTACAGATATGAACAGTCCTAGAAGATCTCATCTCAGAATCCAGTCATCCAGGTAGAAACAATGGGAAGCAGGAATGAACTAAGAGGAATATGGGAAGTCCATTATTTTCCAGAAAAATAAGTATGCTAAATTGAGCTTCCATTGAACCTCACCCTTCAAAGGTAAGTATTATAGCATGAGGTTATTGGCTAAGGCAGGGATGTGACAACCTGATTATAAAATGTCCTTACTCTGTGTTCATACAACAAAATACTCAGTTGTTGGCTCGGGTTTCTTAAACATGTATGAAACTCAAAAGCATGTTGAGTAGAAGAAACCAGACACAAAAACCTACATTCTGTATGGCTTATCTTAAGTTCAGAATAGGACAAATTAATCTCCGTTCCTAAGAATCTGTGGAGGGGTTGTCTATGGGAGGATGCTGTAAGAAACTAGTGTTCTTCCACAGAGAAGAGGGCATTATTTCTATATTAACTCTCTAACTAACAAAATAAATGCTTCACCGTTTGTGTTTACTGTTATGTTATTTACAATAAAATAATTATCTATCGACAGGTAAATGAAGAAAATGTGATATGGAGTCGAGGGAGATAGCCCCATTGCTAGATTTGCCCTGTAAGCTTGAGGATTCTAGGTCAATGCCCAGAACCCATGAAGAAAATTGGAAATCCAAGCATGGTGGTGCACAGTTGTAACCCCAGCACTGCAGAGGGCAAAGACAGGTGGATCCCTAGGAGCACTTTGGCCAGATATTCTAGTCTACAGGGTGTTCTAGGCCAGGAAGAGATCTTGTCTCAATTAAAAAAAAAAAAGTGCATGGTGTCTAAGGTGGCACACAAGGTTGCCCTCTGCTCTGAACATTTACAAATATACAAATATACATGTTCACACCTACCTACCCATATCCATGTGCACATATACAAGTGAGAACACTCACCCACAAATGTGATGTATATACATACGTACGTATATATACACGCATATATAAGATTAAAATGTATATATACTGTATATATTACAGTATAATTTGTCTGTAAATAAGAATAAAATTATGTCTGAATAGAAATAATAACAACAAGGAGTTCTTGTTATGTCCTTTCGGACAAATTTTTCCCTCTGACTCTCAGAGCACACAAGAGTAGAATGCCCCAAGCTGTTGAAAGGACAAGAGAAGATGACACCTGGACACCTACTAACTTGACAGGCATAGAGTAGCTGTGAAGGGTTTGTGGGAAACGGAAATCTGAGTCGGGTTTTGAATCCTGCACTCCCACACTTCCTCCTTGCTCTCACACTTTGCACACACAGCTCCTTCCCCTGCTGACCATTCGTACTGTTTATTCAGGTTTCCACACGGAGGTGACTGCTTCTGAAGGGCTCCCCCTTCATATACACAATAGAATATTATTCAGCTACAAAAAAATAAATGAAGTCTACGGGCAAATAAATGAAATGGGAAGTATTGTAATTCAGGCCAAGGAGGCTGCAATTCTGCTTGTTTGACATGGAGCTCCCATGGAAGCAGAAAGTTGGGAAGGCTCGTGGGGGCAGGTTTCCTTATAGAGTCAGGGTGGTAGAACATGGGTAGAAGAAAAGTAGATAAGAGTAGAGAAGTTCAAGGAAGGAGAAAGTGTGCATGATGAGGAGATGAGGGAGTGGAAAGAGGATCAGACAAAACCCAAGGGCTGTGAAAAATACCTTACACACCTACTGTCTTGTAAACTCTCCCCAGGAAAACACACACAAAAAATCATACTATTCCACTTGTTATTTCTTTCAAATGAAGGCTCCTTCAGTACAGGAGAACCCATATAGTTCAGGGATAGAAGCAGGTGCTGAGGAGGAAGGTCTGAGGATGTTGTCTTCTTTCTTAGCCTGTCATCAGTGAAACACGGTAAAGGCAGCACTCCCAGACCATGACCATAGGCAGCATGTTTGATGCAAACTGAGTCAACAGTTACGAGATATCCCTCCACTGACTGAAAGGACTGCAGCAGTCTCTCTAACCTTACCATCCTGAGCGAAAAGAAAACAACGACAACCATAAAAATTCCTGGCCCTGAAATTACTCCCACTGCTTACTACCACCCAGTCCAAAGACAGCCTGGTTTCCTCAGAATCACCGGATGCAGCAAACACCCCAGTGAGAGCCCCTCCCAACCCTGGCCTGAGGTGCCTTCACTGACTTTGCTTAGTCACATGTACGTTTCTGAAGGTTTGTACTAAAGGGCATTGGCTGTGCTTTGAATCCCAAGGTCTGTAAAATCAGTGCATTGATAAGACATTTTCACTCTCTTTTCTTACAAAAAAGAACGCCTTCCGTGGCCACTAGTGTGCCTGCCAAGATACTACAAGCTGTCCACATGTTATACATATAATTTTATATACGTTGAGGACTGAAGTACATGTATGCTATTTCCTAGCACACGATGCCAGCTTCAATTACTGTTACTATCACTAAACTTCATAAATTACTTGTTTTTTACGTTGTGGAGCTTCAAGAGGAAAGGACTAGACCTTGTCTGTGAGAGTCATTGTGAGATTTCCTATTCTTACACAGGGCTGATCCAGAAATGAGCCAAAATGCATCTGTGACTTCATAAGCCTTGCATACCCTCACTATAGGCATTCTGTTTACTATTGTGCAATGACCTGTGTTGCTGCATGGTAAACACAAACAATGCGAGTCAGTACAAAGATGCTCTGGGCTGGTGCCATCCATAAGGAGTATTTTTTGGTCCCCATCGAGAATACTAGACTCATGGCAAGGAAAAAGAAACTGAGTTAAAAGGAAAGCTGTGGAAAACAAAGCTGGCCCCACAGACCCACAGAGGAAGTCAGGGACACCCACAGTGTCCATCACTGTGACTGCCACTGCTATTCTGACTCACAGGAGTCCTTTAGGAACAGGTACAAATACTCACACAGAACAGGTCACCGTGGACATTTTGTTTCTGATTTGTTAGTTTTTCCACTTTACTCTGGCTGGGCAATGCATTGAAAGGATGTAGATATGAATCTAAACGTTTAGGTGACCAACTTACCACACAGATCGTCTCCTTCACATGTCCCTCTATTCTCACAACCCTAGAAAATAAAGGGGAGAATAACACACACATGCTAAAAGAAGATAATCTTTTCACACAGTAACAAAATGGAGATACAATTGGAGACAGACTATCTGCTGTTTAGGGCGTGGTCACAATAAGGTCACAGTCCTAGACTTCCTTTGTGCACCTGGTCAATGTCACTGACGTTGTTGGATAGAGATGGAGGTCTTTCCAGTACCCATTATTCCCTTGCTGCTCCCCAGGATGGGTATGAAGCCTCTGACATGAAGCGAAATGGCTAATACCTCAGCAGGTGTGGAAAAATCAAACACTTAATTAACATGAAAACAATACCTTTCAGTCTTGCAAATGGGCTATCCTTAGAGACTTCCTGCACTCTGTTCTAACCTCATCTCTGTTAATGCCCAGGCCAACCAGAAAAACCTGCCTTTGCTTCCCTATCTGTTCTCACCAACGTCGTTAATGCATTTGAGTCGCTCTCTCATTGTTTCAATGTAAATATGCTATGCATAACATAAAAAAATAATAATCTTCCATATCCAACTCAGAAGAAAAGTGACAGCCATTAGTGCTTACATGTCCTTCTATATTTCTGTGTTTATACAAATATGCACAAACATCCACGCACACAGGAGAGACTCATCTGGCTTCCTGTTCAGCCATCTGCGTGGTATCATGAATTTCACACTTGCATTAATATAGACGGAGCTACCCCACTCTTTTCAGTAGGTACAACCTACCCTAAACTGTGGATGCAACCATTCTCTGTGAGTCATCAGTGTAGTCATCCTCTCACTGATGGGTCTATTTCTGGTTTTGCTACTTTAAAAGACACTGTGGTAAGAATCTTTGTACAGGCATCTATCTGTCTATCCAGCTGTCTACCTTCCCTTTGGATTGTGGAAATCCTTAATATTTTTAAAGATTAACTTACCAGTTTTATTTTACACGTATGAGAACTTTGGCTACATGTATGTATGCAAACCATGTTAAGCTCAACTTCTCCAGGCTGACACTCAAGTAGTTTGACGGCTCCTGTTACTCTAGAGCAGTGGATCTCGACCCTTCCGGAGCTGCAACCCTTTAACTTATAGTTCCTCATGTTGTGGTGACCCCCACCATAAAATTATTCTCATTGTTACGTCACAACTGTAATTTTGCTGCTTTTATGAACTGGGATGTATCTGACATGCAACCCCTATGAAAGGGTCATTCAGCCCCTGAAGTGGGACGACCCACAGGTTGAGAAACACTGCCCTGGCGCATCTCTAAACAAAACACATCTGTAAACACAAAAGATAGAGTATTGATTTGGGGTTATCTTTCTCCTACCAGTCCTACCTGCACTCCACTGCCTTCCATTTTCAAGGGCACGAAATATGGCCCAGGGTTTTTTGCCATCAAACTCTTGATCCTATCAAGAAGCCGGAACACCTGCAGTTCCTGCGTCTCCTCGTCTGCCTTGTTGTTGAAAGTACAGTATCGACTTCCAACATTTTCAAGCAACTCCTTAAGAGACTTCTTGCTGTCGATGTAGTCTTGCAATGAGTCCTCACCAAGCTCGTCTTCCCGAGTGAAGACCACAATCATGTGTCTGTAGGCTCCAGGGCCAAACTCATCCTGGATGCCCTCAATGGTCTTTCTGTCCTCCTCTGTATAGTGGCCAATGGGAGTGACGAGGAGCAGCGCATGGAAACCATCAGCCGAGAGCTCCAAGATCTGCTGCAGGATCTGAGGCCTAACCTCCGTACAGGCCAGTGAGAAAAGAGGCGGGGTATCGATGACCGTGACCCACTCCTCTCTCACCAACACATTCGCACTCTGGCACCTGTTGGTTACCACAGGATCACTGAACTTGGACTCGAACACGGCTTTGCCCAGAATGGTGTTTCCTGTGGCGCTTTTGCCTGCACCATGTTTCCCTAGAAGGAGGAGCCGCAGTGTGGATGGTCCCTGGCTCCAGCTGAAATTGTCCTCCTGGCTCCTGCGGTCGCTGTTAAGACAAGAGCAGCACGTCAGTGCTCCATCCATGGTGAGTGGAGAGGGGACAGCAGGAAAGCTGTCCTCCTCGTTCCCTGTGAATTTAAACTGCTGGGTTGGGAGGCAGCTCAATGGCTGTACTAGCACAAGGCCACTGGTAGCACGAGCCTGTGATTACAGTCATAGAGAGCAGCAGAGACAGGAAGTCCCCCTGAGCTCACCAGGCAGCTAGCCTAGCCTACAGTATGGACTGAACCAAGTGCTCCACGCCTTCTAGGCACTCTACCCCTCAATTCCAGCCCCGTGATCCTGATTATAAAGTCTGGTATTTATTCCAAAGGACTCCGGTATACTCGGAAAATTTTAAGGAGGAACACAAAATCCCCATAAACTCATCTCAGAAGTGGCTATTGCTAAATGTCTGTTTACTTCGTATAATTCCAAAAGCTAGGACAACATGTTAAGACTTCAGGAGTTATTGGGATAAAATGAGTATATTCTGTGTACAATTCAGATACAAACTTGAGGTCTAGAGGTAGAGTTTTGTGATTTTGATGCATCTCCAAAAGTTAGAAACCTCATTCAACATTCAGCAGTATTGAGGGACAAGACCTAAGAAAAGATGACAAGAGCATGGGCTTTTCATCCCTCACAAGCACATCAGTGTCATCTGGTGGCAGTGCTTCCTTAGTAAGTATGAGGGGAGTGATTCCTTAAGTGAGTGTGAGTTTGTAGGGTGGGAGAGATGGCTCCTGGCTTCGGTTCCCAGCACCCACAGGGTGGTTCACAACCATCTGAAACTCCAGTTCTAGAGGATCTGATCCTCCCCTTTGGCACAAACATACCTGCAGGCAGAGCAGTCATACACATGTTTTTGGGTAAACAAAACTTTTTATAGTGAGTTTGTATGCCTCCTGCTGCCTCTTATGCACCCACCGTGCCCTTCTCCCTTTCAACTCAGTACAACACAATATGAAGGCCTATGCCAGGGATGGGCCCCTCTACCTTGGACTTCCTAGCTTCAGATGTTTGATGACACCATGTCAAAAGGCACTAAGACAATCCACCAGGCCATCAAGTAGATGGACAACCAGCCCTTCATCTTCATGGAAGTGTTACACATATGATAAGAAGGGTGATCTGGTTTCATGAAGCAGTACCCCCAATGCCCTTGCTACAACTTCACCACCTTCTCTCTACACGCCAGAGTCTGTGACCGCAGGGGGAGTCCCCTGCAACCAGCTGACATAGCAAAGGAAGACTTGGGTTTCTACATATGGTTCTGTATAACATGTAGGCACCACCAGCAGAGGAGAGCTACCACACTGGCCCCATCTTGGGCATCTCATGATGACAGTGTTAGAAGAATATTTTATCCATGGCCAGAATTTTGTGCGGTGAATCTTGTTGATTTCACTAGAAGAAAAAAAAATGGTCAGATTCGCAATTATTACCAACCTGTGAGCTCCAGCCAACAATTTGGCTGGGAAGTATGGATTTAGAAACAACATAGCTGGGAAATCAGTGCTAACTTTGTGTGGAAGAATTGTCTGGAAGGACCCAAGAGAGAAAAAAAGAATTGAACGCTTATCAAAAACTGACTTCAGTAAAAGAAGATCTTGATCACCAAGTTGATAGAATGAACCATTTTCTTGATGGCAGCCTCGTCCTCAGTTACCTAGTCATTAGCCAATGTACTCATGAACAGAGTGGCCACAGTAATGGGGATAGAGGCTACACATGTGCCTGGTTAGATGAAAGTATACAGTACCATCTCCCCGCAGCCAAGATTCACAGGTCGGGAACCCATGGGTAGAAATCAAATGTTTGCTTCTAATCCCCAAGGCCTTAAACTCTGCTGGCACAGAGGTCTTGGCTACAGAGAACAGGATGTTTCCACCAGGAGACAATCATTGGCCTGTACTGGCAATTAAGACTGTACATAAGTCCATCTCTGCCTTCCCAGGATGCAGCCAAAAGTTTCATGAGTTCATCCCCTGGAGATGCTTCTGTGATAGAGGGATTCATCCCACATCAGGGGGCAAGCAGTCACAGATAAAGGAGGTTAGAGAGGCCTCTAGACCCCAGTAGGGAAAGAAATTTAGTTCTAGCCAGTGGGTCAATCAGGATAAGAAAGGGGTTGACCGGGGATGGCCAGTTTGAATTAAATGTAAAGACAAGACTTCCTTCAATGCATGGCTAACTGGATCTTTATGTGCAAGGACTGGGGAATGTTAGAAGAGAGAATATAGAATCTATGTATTCCCATTTGCTTCTCCTGGAGACCATTCGTCCCAATAGCACCTGCTGACTTCCTCATGGGAGCCCAACTCCTGAGACAACCCCCTGCTGGACTCTTGAACCTCCCCATAGGCGGCACTTTTGTTCTCTACTTCCCCCTTGGTTATGAAGCCCTCCCCCACAGACCACCTGGCAGGAAGCTGTTCCACACACCTTCTTAGGAAGCATACTGTACATCCCAGCTGTTTGGAGTGGCACGACACCTGCCAGGGGGAAACCTTTCCAGTGCTCTTGAAGTCAAAGCAACACAGGGCAGTCTGCCTTTCATGGTCCAAGCTCATCACCTCTGCCTTGCGCTCACTGCCTTGTGTGCGTGCACATACATACACACACACACACACACACACACAGAGGGAGAGAGACAGACAGTCAGACACACACACAGAGAAACAGAGAGAGGCACACACACATATGCTCGCACATACACACCTGAAACATACCTTGGTCCTTCCTCCTGTCCTATTGATGTTTCACACCTGTGTGCCCCCTGACTTCTTCCAAGTGCTTCTTGGTGGGGCAAAGTGGCCATCTCTGGCCATAGGCCGGTGGAACTGATTCCCAAAGAGAGCCAGGAGCCACCCAAGGAGAGTCAAGGATTCACCAGGTCACTCAGAACCCAGTCTGTCTGGCAGGAGGATTTCCAAGTGTTTCTGGGAAGAAAGAGGTTTATAGAAGCATATCCTACATCAGCAGAGTCTGAGAATACACTCAGAACACAGGATGAACACGGAAGAGGCTTAGGGAGGGGCCAGTGTGAACATTCAGGCACAGCTTTTCTGGAGATGCCTTGGGGGCCACCATGTGGCAAAAGGCTGTGAGAGCACAGATGTTCACACTGCTACAGACAGAAGATGATAACAGAAAGGCCAGCTTGGGCCTTGTCATAGAAAGCTTCATCTGTGAACATGACACAAATCTAGAGTCATCTAGGAAGAGGAAATCTCAACTAAATGGTTACCAATAACAGACTGGCCTGTGGCCATGTCTGAGAGACATTTTCTTAATTGCTAATTGATACTGGAGGGCCAATCCATGGTGACCTGTGCCACCCCTAGGCAGGTGGACATGACATGTATAAGAAAGGTAGCTTAGCAAACCCAAATTAAACAGCATTGTTCCTTCATGGTCTCTGTTTTAGTTCCTGCCTCCAGTTTCCTCCCCTGGCTTCTGCCCTATGAATTATAACTTGTAAACTGAGATTGAAGGGGCCATCCCTACTGGGAGGTCTCTCGAATTTGGTGTGTGTTGTAAGACATCCAAGGAAAGTCTTCTGGGGTACCGTGAACATCCCCTTTCTCCCCCTCCTGTTCCTGTCTTAGCATTCAGTGCTCCTTTTGAGAATGGGCACAAGCTTAGCATGTGGCTACGACCTTTGTCCTGCCAGTTTCCTTCTTGGCAGCCTACTTATCCAAGGGAGTTGATTTATGGCCAGGTTGGGTTCCTGAATATTTTTCCAGATCAGTTCAGCTTGACCAACCAGATGACTTTTAACTGCAGAGTGAGACCATTGCATCCCCACAGGCAGGAAAGCTTTCTTTCCTTGGGAGCACCCGGGAGGTTAGGGGGAAGCACAACTTGAATTAGAGCAGTAAGGTTGCCTCTTTTTATCCTCCAAAAGCCAGCTTTGGAGTAAATATCTGCCTCTGGTAGAACCTACAATGCAACTTTTGTCCCTCTATTCCCTTACCTCAGGCCTAGAACTGGCCTGTGTTTGGGTCTCCAGACTCTGACCTTAAAATACCATCAAGCCTCTCCCCCGAGCATGTGTGAGCCCCATCTCCAGGTTTCTTCCTGATTTTTCTTATTGACACTACCCAGTTCACTTCTGTTACCTAAGTGGAAATAGCCCTCTCTACTTTGAACTCTTCACCTGCACTTGGCTGTTCTTAATACTTAGGTTAAGATTTGTGTTGTTGGGTCACAAATTTTGTATCTTGGGTCTAAGCATGCACTCTTATTAAATGTAGTCAACTTGTGTGTTCTTTGAGTTTCTTCTCAGAATGTTCAATATTGTCACTCCATGTAATTGCTTATGTGTCATTTTGTATGCAGTTGCAGTGGTTAGCCTGTATCTATGACTTGGGTTTTAAATATTTATTTACTTAGCATGTGGGAGGAACATATGAATATCGAGGTCAGAAGACAGCTTCCAGGATTTGTTTTTCTCCTACCATATTGGTCCTGGGAATTGAACTCAAGACATCAAGGCTGGCACCAAATGCCTTTACCAACTGGGTTATCTTATCAGCACTAATTCAATATGCTTGTTATCAGTATTTATGTCCTGAATGCCACAGTGAAGTATTTGTTAAGTGGTATAATTTTATGATAAAATTTCTCCACCCTCAAAGGGAATTTGATTCAAAGTGGCCTTAAGAGTACATGAGATTTTCAATCAAGATGAGCTACCTAGAAGTTCAGATTACCTGAGCTGCCTGAAATTACCCAAACTGTTGAGCTGCCTACAGGCTGTGAAGTGAGCTTCAAGTTCCAAGCTTTCATTAGCTGTCACCCATGCTGGGGTGGGCTTTGGTGATGCAGCTGTCTTTAAGACACTTTTGATCCTGTAAATAACTCCTCATTCATATGCCTATAAATAACCCCAACAGAACTCACTGGTTCACCCAATTGGCTTCTGGTGGTATCCTTACTTTTGGTCAATTAGTCAGCAGCTACCTATATGGAAGCAAACATTTGTCTCTCAGGAAATAGTATCACATAGCAGGCGGTATTACAAAATGATTCCTATTGGAGTCCCATTTTGCTTTGAGAAATGAGACATAACATTTTAACCTATGGAATTCTGAGTTCTCACAGGACTGGTCTCTCTTTTCTACTCCTGTCATAAATAATAATTGGTACATGAGGAAAGAATCATTCTGTTGGAAGGGAATTCAAAGAGAAGGGGATTCAAAGATAATGTATTTTTTTCCAACATCTTCTATAATGTGATTGTTCATTTACTTCCCCAAACTGTAATTGGATGAAATCCCAAGATAAAATGACAGATCAAATCATTATTCTCAAACAAAAGATACAATTAGATATAGAGGACTAACCTCTTCTAGAATTGTAGCTAGCCATGTAATATGAGATTATAGCTATAGAATCAAACTGGACAAAAAAAAAAAACCCTCCTAGAATTAAAGAATATATTATTCAACTTTCTGTTGGTGTGATAAGATACCCTGACCAAAGCCACTTGGCCTAAAATTGCAGAGAGGATATATGGGGGTTTGAATGAGAATGACTGCCATGCGCTCGTGTTTGAATACTTGATTCAAACAGTTCATGGAACTGTTTGGGAAGGGTTTGGTGGGTGGTCCTTGAAGTTTCAAAAGACATATGTCATTCCTGCTCTGTTCTCTGACTCATGCTCACTCAAAATATGAGTGCTTACAGTTCCTGTGGTCATGTTTTCATTCTGCCATCATAGATTCCAACCCTGTGGAACCATAAGCCTAGTTAAACACTTTCTTTTATAAGTTGCCTTGGTCATGGTGTTCTGTCGCAGCAATGGAAAAGTAACTAATACAGGACATCTTGGTGAGACAAAGCCATAAAGCCTCAAAGTTCACCCTCTGCAGTGATGTACTTCCTCCTTCAAGACTCCACCTATTGAAGGTTTTGTGATTTTCCTAAATAGCCCCAACAATTGGAAACCAAGTGAAACCATTGGAACCAATGCTGAACATATGTAGAATGTTTCTTTTTGCAAGATATGTGAACCCCATGATTGTGAACTGTAAAAATCCTGTTTCTAGTTGTGGTGTGGCTCAGTCCTTGCACAAACCTTTAATCCAAATGTTTTCTGTATACAGGATTAAATAAAGTTAACCCTAGGTCAAGAGATGGAGCAGGAAACCAGCTGACAGGGATTAAACAGAAAGGAGGGATTTTGGAGGGTGTTTAAGACATTGTGGAAGTCAGGGAAACTATTAGGTAATATTAAAAGGAAAGATCTTTCCCACATTAAGGATGGAAAATATAATACAGGGTACTAGGAGTCTGTATAGTGCTACTTTAGATAGCTTGAAAATAGAAGCAGAAAATGAAAATATAATTGACTTCACTGAGATTGATACAATACCAATTATTATTACCATAAGTCTGGTAATTCATATTTTATCCTTAATAAACACAGTGGGTTTTGTGTCAAATATGAAAAATGGATTGATTAGATACAAGCCTAGAAAGACTTATAAATGAAAATAAGAAAAATACTTAGACACAGACAGAATTTAGACAAGAACCTACTGTACCTCTGCATGATTAAACTCAAGAGGGTCTGTTCAAGGTTGTTAGAAAACAACCAGTTACTATACTATGCTATGTTACGCTATGCTATGCTATGCTGTGCTGTGCTATGCTATGCTATACCAGCAGATGATAGGCACCCCCAAGGTTATGAAAAAGTTAAATGGAATACTACAGAAATATTAGATTTGAGCAGATCTAAGGAAATGCTTGTTTTGTATGGTCTGTATTCATCCTATGTGTAGCAGAAATTAAATTTATGGGTAATTCAGTACACAATTATCCCCCAAGACTGGGAAGATTTGGCAACATCAATATTGGAAGCTGGTCCTCAGTTACAATGGCAAACATGGTGGGAAGAAAAAGCTAGGGCTCTAGAGCAATGAATTTAAGCCAGAGGTATTAATATTTCCCAATATCAGTTACTAGGTGAAGGTCAACATTCTGAGTTACAAAGGCAGGTTGAATTTGACAATCACACTTTGGGACTATGCCAATTTAGCAGCTTTAAATGCTTGGGACAAGGTTGAAGAATCAGGCCTGAGTCATTTACTAAAATTATACAAGGCCCCAAAATTGTCTTCACTGATTTATTATTGTTATTATTCTTTACACAGCTTGAGTTCAGCTGTAAGTAAAATAGTATCAGATTTAGAAGTCAGACAAATTGTAATTGAATCCTTGGCTTTTGAAATTCAGAATGCAAAAGGGTGATCAGGCCTTAAAAGGTAAGGTCAGAACCAACAGTTGAACGGATTGAAAATCCAATTGATATTAGATCTCACATCTATGATGCTACTCTAATAGAAGTAATTTCTAAAAGTTTTTAAAAGCTCAAAATGTTTTAATTTGTGGTAAGCAAGGCCATTTGAAAAGGAATTTTAGCAAGGTGTTCCTCGAATTTATCTATCATCTATCTATCTATCTATCTATCTATCTATCTATCTATCTATCTATCTATATTGCTAGAGATAATCCAAACAGAAGGCTTCAGCCTTCTGGTATGCAGAAGGTATGGGCAAAAGCCAGCATTGACAGATCAGCAGCTGACAAGAAAGGTAACCCTGTAACATTGGGACACGCCCAGTCACATTCAATTCAACCTTTCCCTGTCGGCATCACAGAAACTCAATCATCCACAAGGCAATTAAAAGAGTCATTGCTGTTGTTAAAAATAACACAGCTATATGGATGCAATCAAGAACAGAACAGTTTCAGTAGATAAACCAAAATCTTCATGAGAGATAAATAAATAAATAAATAAATAAATAAATAAATAAATAAATGACTGAATGAAAAGATAAATAAATAAATAAATGAGCAAATAAATGAATGAATGAATGAATGAATGAATGAATGAATGAATAAATAAATAAATAAAGTATTTGGCAGACTTCTATAAATGACCGGAGACCAAAGCTAAAAATAT